GCTGAGAACTGAATGACAAAAGGAAGACAGCTGTGTGAAGACCTGGGGAGCCTTCAGGTAGAGATGATACACCTAGTGTAAAACCTAACAGGTGTCTGCTGTGTAGTGGATGAAATAGGCTAAGTAGAAAGAGCCATTGTAAAGGATTTGGGTTTTACACTAGATCAAACAGAAAGTCATAGGCGGGTTTTCAGTAAGCATCTAGTAAAATCTTACATACCGTTTTGAAATCTTACTCTTTACTAAGAGGTAATTATATAGTTCTGAATGATATTTAGGAGACAGGGAAAAGTTTGGTGTTATAGATTTGTGAGAGATAGTGTAATAACCAAATATATTGTTGTCAGATTAGCTTGTTTTTAAGTCTTTTCTCACCACCAGAGTGATGAGACCACACAGGTGTCAAGGGAGTATATAACTTTCCAAACATCAGCTCCTTCCTTTGGGAAATAGGGAAAATTTTAGTACCTCATAGGGTTGTGTGGTGGGGATTAAATGAGATAGTGAATGCAACGCACTTAGTGACTGCCACAATAAGCAATCAAAAATATTAACTACATTGATAATTCTTTTGGTTAATGATGAGACCTGAGCAATACAAGCCCCAGCCCCCCACCCCCCAAATCTCTCTCAGAGGTAGCCCTGCTCTGAAACTTTTCCACCACTAATTAGCTTTGTATAAATTTAAAGAGTTAAATTTTATTGACTAAAGAACAGGTTATGAACAAAGATATACTTGGTTGGAGTTCATTATCTAGTCACAAGGCAGTTCATACATGAAATATGAAGAGATTTTTTTTCTTCAGATAACTGGACTTTGGTGTTTCTGTTCTGTTCTGTTGCCTCAGCTCTAGGCAGTCCCCATTTTCTGTGTTTGTGTTTCAAGCTCCAACCAACTTTGGAGTCAGCTCAAGGTTAGCTAATAAGGCTCCAGGCTCTGCTATGTCTGCAAAAGCAAGTATCAGCGAAAACATTTAGATATACATTTTTTTCTTTTTTGTGCCCTTAGTGTCTGAGACCAGTTTGACCATTCAGCCTCAGTTACAACATTATACTCAATGAAACAGGAGAACAAATATTTTATGATTCCATTTATTTGTGGTAACTAAAGTAGTCAAATTCATAGTGACAAAAAGTAGAATAATGGTTGCCAGTTAGAGGAGAAGATTAAGCAGTTAGTATTTAATGGGGACAGAGTTTCAGTTTTGGAGGATGAAAAAGTTCTGGAGATGGATGCTGGAAATGGTTGCAACACAGTGTGAAAGTACTAAATGCCACTGAAGTGTTCATTTAAAAATGATTAAAAAGGTAATTTTTTTTGTTATGGATATTTTGCCACATTATCTAAAAGGTACCTTCTAATAAGAAGTTACACCTTCCCAACATGGAGTAGCACAGCTATGTGTTTCTGATAGAAAACACGGTCTCCCAAAAAACTTATTATGCCTTTTCAGATAATAAATTTCAATTGTAATTAGTGCAGAATGTCACAAGATGTCACTCTTTAGCTGAAAAACTATTCTGATTTAGTTCCGATGATAACAATAAGTAATGCCAAGTCAATAGACAAAAAAGCCTGTAATTACTTATCAGGTCTTTACATATACAGATATGGTTTTATGGGAAAGAGAGGGTTTCCATCTGTGAAATGTATTAATAAATTACTTTATAAAACATTAATATTTCTTAACTTCATAAGTACTGATTGTTTTTCAGTATAAATTGAATTGGTATAATTAAAACATAACATACTTTGAAAGTGATAGTGAAACACAAAGCTGAAATGTAAATATTATTGATCACTTAAAGTCAGATGATGTGGCTTTATCATTAAAAAATCTGTGATTTTGGGTAAACTCTCCGATTCCACCAGAGTGGTAAAACTTCCTTTCTTAGTCCAGCATACACTACTATATATTGAATAGGGGCTAAAACATTTAAATATTCTTCTAATTCTAAAACATTTTGGTTTTTTACAGTAATTATCAAATTATAACTTAAAATACAACATTAAGGGAGTTCAGTGTTAGAAAATACTGTCATAGAAAACATTAGGGCATATAATGAGACTTCTTGAGTAGGTACTTTAGGAAAATACTCCCTTGTATACAAAAAATTATAGTCAGAAGTATAAACTCTGGAAATAAAAAAGGATCACCTTTTTAAAATGAGAACATTTTAAAAAGTCAGTGGAATGTCCTGAAATGTAAAAAAATGGTGTTTTTTTTTTTACAATTTTTTAAATTTTATTTTTTTTTTACATAATTCTTCATTTTTGCACAATGTATGCATTTTCATCTTGGTTACAGTCCTGGTACAATTCCCACCCCCCCTTGTTTTATTTTTTTTTAATTTTTTTTATAATAAATTTTATTTTTATATTCCCCATACAATTTCAACCCCCCCATTTTGACCCCAATCCCTCCCCTCCCTCCACCCACCCCCCCAAAAGTGTCTCTGGTGCATAGATTTTTGTTGATTTTGATTTTCACTTTCTTATAGTTATTCATTTTCCTGGTCCCTTATTTAAGTTTTCTAGGTTCCTGCTATGAGTGAGACCATCCGGTATTTTTTTTTTTCTTTTTTATTTATTTATTTATTTATTTATTTTAATAGAGGCATGTTTTTATTTATTTAGTTTTTGTTTGTTTATACAAGCACTGGGCACAGTCAGAAGCGCAGGAGGGTGAGCGAATTCACCAGAGCCAGAAGGGGGAGCAGAGCAGGCAGAAGGACCGAAGTACACTGCTGAGGGGAGCAGCGGGCGGCAGGAGAGGTCTGCGCGCCATGTGGGACCCTCCTCCAGTGGCCGGGGAGCAGCCGGGGATTGAACCGGTGCCTCAGAGGCCGCGGGCAGCTTCGCAACCGAGCGCTCAACCGCTGCGCCACCGGGGAGGCCCTATTTTTCTTTTTCTTTCTGGCTTATTTCGCTGAGCATGATCCCTTCCAGCGCCATCCATGTTGCCTCAAATTGCATGTGTTTATCTTTTTTGAATGCTGAGTAATATTCCATGGTATATATGTACCACATCTTCTTGATCCAGTCATCTATTTTTGGGCATTTGGGCTGTTTCCAAAGCTTAGCTATTGTAAATAGTGCTGCTATAAACATAGGGGTGCAGGTGTTCTTTGGAATTGATGTTTCTGTGTCCTTTGGGTAAATACCTAGGAGTGGAATTGCTGGATCATATGGAAGTTCTATGTTTAGTAGGTCCAGAAATCTCCACACAGCTCTCCATAGTGGTTGGACCAGTTTGCACTCCCACCAACAGTGCAGAAGAGTTCCTTTTTCTCCACACCCTCGCCAACATTTGTTGTTGCTAGTTTTTTTAATATGTGCCATTCTCACTGGTGTGAGATGGTATCTCATGGTAGTTTTGATTTGCATTTCCCTGATTACAAGTGATGTTGAACATTTTTTCATATGCCTGTTGGCCATTTCCTCTTTAGAGAAGTTTCTTTTTAGGGCCTCCCCGGTGGCGCAGCGGTTGAGCGCTGGGTTGCGAAGCTGCCCGCGGCCTCTGCGGCGCCGGTTCGATCCCCGGCTGCTCCCCGGCCACCGGAGGAGGGTCCCACATGGCGTGCAGACCTCCCCTGCCGCCCGCTGCTCCCCTCAGCAGTGTTCTTCGGTCCCTCTGCCTGCTCTGCTCCCAGCTCTGGCTCTGGTGAATTCTCTCACCCTCCCGCGCTTCTGACTGTACCCAGTGCATGTATAAACAAAGAAAGAAAGAAAGAAAGAAAGAAAGAAAGAAAGAAAGAAAGAAAGAAAGAAAGAAAGAAAACATGCCTCTATATAAAAAAATAAAAAAAAGAGAAGTTTCTTTTTAGCTCTTCTGCCCATTTAAAAAAATGGTTTTGTTTAAATGTAAAAGTTTGAAAATTCAAGAACACATTAATTCTTAAAGATTATCTTGTAACTATCATCCAAATATTTTTTGACTTACAATTTTTGTAACAAGCTTATCATTTATTTGTAGAACCTAAAAATAATCAAAAGTGCAAATGTCCACCCCTGGGTGAACTGTTAGACAGTATAGTATGCTAATAAACTAGGACAATTAATTATTTATTAGTAGTTACAGTTACTAGAATTAATGTCAAATTATTAGGATGAAAAAGGCTATCAGAAAAATGGGTGAAAATACAGAACTCAGAATTATTTGAAAAATAGAGTGTAATTAGTGTCTGGTTTAGAATATTAAGAGTTTGTTTTGTTTTGTTTTATTTAACTCTTGAAAATCAGATCTTTCTATGTAACTTTTATTTTCAGATAATGAAATGTGTAAAATCTGTGTGATTATTTTAAACGTTGGGAGCAAAATACAAGATTTGTATTTCATGTTACAGTGCCGCTTCTGTCACTCTTAGGGTGGTGTGGGGAGGGGGGGCGGTGGGTGGGAAATCTCCCAGTGCTGGAGTAGTCTGGGAGGGGCATCGTGGGGGAGGCCCCTTCTGTCCCATTGATAACACGTTCATTCAGTGGGAGCCTGCTAAAACAGACTAATCCTTCTTGCAGCCATTCCTTCCTTCTACCCAATTAAGGCTCTGTCATCTTTCCCAGAACTCGGTAAGTTCAAAGTGCATGATTCTGAGGAACAGGCTCAAGTGATTTTATTAGAGGTCGAGAAGGCAGGGGGTGAAGGAGAAAAGGAGTAGAGAAAATTATCAGGTGTCATTTTGCTATCCTCATTTGCACCAGGAAGAAAATCTCAACGCTCAATTGGTTTCAAAACCAATAGACAGTAATTGGTTTCCTGCCAGGAAAACTTTCCAGAGGTGCCCCTCGCAGACTGCTGCTGCCCACGGTGAACCAGCGCCTAGAAAGTCTGGGGAGGGAGATTTCGCAGGTGCACGGCTTGGGCGAAAAGTTTAGCCCAACTCAATCAATAATATCTTTGCCTCTGTTCGCAGGTCTGGGGGACGCTGTGCTCCTGGCCCTGTCACCAGTGACATCCAGGGGACCCCAGAGAAGCAGCGCAGAGTGCAGACACCGCGGGGCCATGAGTCTTTTGAGGCTGCGAGCGTCGCTTTGGCCGCTGCTGCTGGGCACCTGCCTTCTCGCTTCCGCCGGGGGGGACAAGGGCGCGGCCGGCAGAGCCACGGAGCCGGTCCGGGGTCCCGCGGGCGGCTCTTCGGGTCGCTTCGTCAGCCCAGAGAGGCACGCGTGCACCTGGCAGCTCCTGCCCCCGGCCCCTGGACACGCGGCGGGCAGCGAACTGGCACTGCGTTGCCTGGGCCCGGACGGGGCGCGCCACCACTGCGCCTACCGCGGGGAGCCGGGGCGCTGCGCCGACTACCCCGCGCGCCGCGCGCACTACTGGAAGCAGGTGCTGAGCGGGCTGCGCAAGAAGCGGCTGCCCTGCCACGACCCCGCGCCGCTCAGGGCCCGCCTGTGCGCGGGCAAGAAAGGCCACCGCGCCGAGCTCCGCCTGGTGCCCCACGGCTCCCCACCCGCCGGCTCCTCCGCCTTGGGCATCCGCCGGGAATCCAAGCCCTGGGCCAGGGGCCGAGCGCGCCCCCGGGGGCGCTCGCCCGGCCCCTCCGCGTGGGTCCCACCACCCCCCAGCGCGCCCCCAAAGGAAACCCTTCTGAGAAGGCCAAGGCGGGCAAGAGGAAGGCGGCCTCGGACCACGAAAAGGAGCTGACCCCGGGGACCCGGCCCGACCCTGATGGCCTGGAGGAGAACGCGAAACTCACCGAGACCTACTGCGCAGAAAAGTGGCACTCCCTCTGCAACTTCTTTGTCAATTTCTGGAATGGCTGAGCTGGGGGAGCGTGGGGAAGGTGTGTCGCGGGGCACGGGAAGCTAAGGGCATTTTAGGACAAGAGATCTGGGAATAGAGAGTGGGGTGTTCAGGTTCTAGAATGGGCGGGGTTGGGGTAGGGATGATTAGGGATGATTAGGGATGAGAGTGGAGGAGTGTAAAATTTGTTGAAAAGGCAGAGAAGTTGAAAATGTTGAAGTCTCCAGCCTAATTAAAAGCAGAGGAAATAGAAGAAAGTAGGCATATCTTAAATGGGCAAAAGCTGTAGTCCTGGGAGCGAGATGGGCACAGAATATTCTGAAAGAAATAAGGAAAAGGTGACTAAAGCGATGTGAATCTCATGAGGGAATCGGGATACAATAACGTTAAATTGCCAGGGTTTTCTCAATCCGTTGAGAAGAGTAACGATTGCTTTTACTTTGGGGATTACTATATACGTGGTGCTGCTTGATATCATAGATAACCTCTATAAGGAATAGAAGTTGTTCAGAAGTCGAAATAACTCCAATAATGGATTTTCAGAAGTCAAAAGACGATTGTTTTAAAATTCTTTTAGAAGTGCTGCTTTTGAACAGAGTGGTGCCTAATATTTCTGACACTTTCCCATTAACTTTCTAAATTTAGAAGTGAATTGTAGAAGTCAGGGCTCCAGTAGATTTTACCCCCCAAAATTCTCTTTATACTTGCTCATCTTTTAAAAAAAAATATTTAAGGTGTAAGTGTGCATCAGAGTCATCTTGAGCATTATGGAAGTTGTATCTCTTTTGCATGTAATTGTAAACACAGTCCATTTAAAATAAAATGTAAAATAAAATAAGAAATAATGATAGATATTTTTATTGAGCATTTAGCAGTAAAAATGTGTGGGGCCTCCCCTGGTGGCCCAGCAGTTGAGCACTGGGCTAGGAGGCTGCCTGCAGCCTCTGCAGCACCGGTTGGTTCCCCAGCCCCCAGCGAGGGTCCCACAAAAAAAAAAAAAAAATGTGTGGAGAGATTTAAACAACTGGCAAGATACTGGGAATTATAACTGCATTTGATGTCATTCTGAGTATATCTTGACATAAATATAATCTTGATTTGTTGGGAAAAGATAGGAATTAAGAAGTCTGCATAAGGCAAATGTCACAAACTGGCAAACATTGGGACCTATCACTATTCTGTTTATCCTGCACCTGGTTCTCTTTTATTTTTTTCTCTTTTCCTTCCTCCCTCCTTTCCACTTTGGATTTGTTGCCAGCATTTAAAAATAAGATAATTTGGGCCTCCCTGGTGGTGCAGAGCTTAAGGTGCAACCTATGAAGCTGTCCACAGCCACTGCAGCATGAGTTCAATCCCTGGCCAGGGAGTTACACACATGGTGCAGCAGACCTCTCCTGACTCGCCCGCTGCTCCCCTCAGCAGTGTATTTCAATCTGCCTGTTCTGCTCCCCACCCTGTCTCTGGTGAATCCTCTCACCCCCCACACCTCTGGCTTGTATCCCAGTTCTTGTATGCATAAATAAATAAATCTTAAAAAAAAATAAAAATTAGATAATTTCATATCAAAAAATCCAGATGTTTGAACTCCTTTGAAAATCAGATCTGGCAACAATTGGACCCACCATCCCACACGACAACAAATGACACTGGACTATTGTCACAGCAGGCATATCTTCTAGAGTTCTCCACTATTGCAATACATCTGATCAATTTCACTTATTTTACAATCTGGAAACCACTAAACATTTAAGTCACCCAAAGGTATATAGTTTTTACCTTTTCAGTGAACTTCTGTTCTACTCACCCCCCAAACTAGTAGGAAATGCTACAATCTTACAGAGAGTGAACATCTTCTGATCTTTTTACTTTTTAACCAGCCTCTAAGAAATGTAAAGTATCTTTTACCTATTTACCTATTTATCAGTAAATTCTTGTATTCACAAAATTGGCAAAACATTTAGATGACACACAATTTCATGCCATTCAAGTCACATTCTGAATAACACTGCCCATTATGTAAAATTCATTTTTGGCCTAGCAAGGGAGCTCAGAGGAGGTAGAGATAAGGACCCATGTATACTTTTCCCAAAAAGGTTGGCAAAAATTGGATGTCATCAGAAAAAGGAACTTGAACTGTTTTTTTGTTTTTTGGGTTTTTTTTTTTAAGATTTATTTATTTAATTATACAAGCACTGGGTACAGTCAGATGCACGGGAGGGTGAGAGAATTCACCAGAGCCAGAGCTGGGAGCAGAACCGGCAGACTGATGAAGTACACTGCTGAGGAGAGCAGCGGGCGCGGCAGGAGAGGTCTGCCGCACCATGTGGGACGCTTACCAGTGGCTGGAGATCAAACCGGTGCTGCAGAGGCTGCGGGCAGCTTCGCAGCCCAACATTCAACCGCTGCGCCTCCAGGGAGGCCCAGAAAAGGGAATTTGAAATGAAACAACACTATCCAGCACCCTAGCTAGAATCATAGCTTTCTGCACTTTTATAGGGGTAATATTAGTCTACAACACTATGTAAGTTTCAGGTATACAATTTCTCATGTCAGCAACTAAGAATATCACACCATGCCCACCATCAGCTCAGACAGTGCTGCTGGCAGGACAGATGATATCCAGCCAATTGCTAGCCAATTATCATCTTCTTCTTCTACTTCCTCCTCACAATTCTCCCCTTCTTCTCACTCTCCTTGTAAATAAACCTATTTTTCAAAATTTCTCTCTGTGTGTCTGCTTTGTGTCTTGTCCTGAGTTCTTTCTATTTTATTTTATTTATTGAGGCAACGATGGTTTATACAAGCAACACTGTACTTGATTTAGGGACTAGGTTCATACCTGCTGAGATGTGTGTTGCCACCCCAACCCCTGTCCCAAGTTAAGTCCATGGGTAAGGACTCACAATCCAAGTGACCCTGTTTCCTCTGGGGTTGCCATGTAACAACACTTTTAGATAACCATGGGTCAGAGAGGAAGTCTCAAGAGACATTAGAAAATATTTTAACTGAATGAAAATGAACATAGAACACATTTAAACTTTGTGTGTTGCAGCTAAAGCAGTTCTTAGAGGTTTATAGCATGAAAAACCTATATTGGATAAAAGATGTGGCCTGTTAGTGGCAGAAACAGAAAAAAAAATCTTTGATCTCCCCATATTTTTGTAAAAAATAAATAAATGCTGTCCCAAAGTGGAAGTCATTCATGCCAGGTCCCACCCAGATGTAATACTTAACCTAATTGCCATTTCAAGCTTTCACAAAAGTGTTATTTTAAGCCAATCAATCTGGAGTTTCCTGATCAATATTAGTGAGATAATCTGTATGCTAAAACCTCCTGCCTTCCTGTGAGGAAAGGTGGCTTTGCCTGAAATAATATTTTTTTCTTTTAAATTGAAGTAACATTGCATTATATAAGTTTCAGGTGTGCATTATTAAAAATCAACATATGTATAAATAACTTTCTTTTGTTAAAAATGTTGTACCACCTTCTTTTTTACTATAAACACCTTCCACTTTGTGCACACCCCTTGCAGTATGTTTCTATTTGCTAGGCAGGGTGCTGCCCAATTCACAAATTATTTGCTAAAGTTATTTTGATCTCTAAATGTGTTCTGATGAGGGCCTCCCTGGTGGTGCAAGGGGTTAAGACACAACCTATGGGGCCTCCCCTGGTGGCACAGTGGTTGAGCGCTGGGCTGCGAAGCTGCCCACAGCCTCTGCAGCACTTGTTCCATCCCCAGCCACCGGGAGGGTCCCATATGGCGCGACAGACCTCTCCTGCCACGCCCACTGCTCCCCTCAGCAGTGTACTTCGTTAGTCTGCCTGTTCTGTTCCCCGCTCTGGCTATGGTGAATTCTCTCACCCTCCCGCGCTTCTGACTCTGCCCAGTGCTTGTATAATTAAATAAATAAATCTTTTTTAAAAAAAAAAAAACACAACCTATGAAGCTGTCCACAGCCACTGTAGCGCAAGTTCGATCCTCGGCCAGGAAGCTATCCACATGGCGCAGCAACCTCTCCTGATTCCCCCACTGCTCCCCTCAGCAGTGTATTTCAGTCAATCTCCCTATTCTGTTCCCCACTCTGTCTCTGGTGAATCCCCCCACACACACACCTCTGGCCTGTAACCCCATTCTTGTAGACATAAATAAATAAATCTTTTTAAAAAAGTATTCTGATAATATATATATTTTTTAAAGATTTATTTATTTATTTATTTATTTATACAAGCACTGGGTACAGTCAGAAGCATGGGAGTGTGAGACAATTCACCAGAACCAGAGCGGGGAGCAGAATATACAGACTGACGAAATACACTGCTGAGGGGAGCAGGGGGTGTGGCAGGAGAGGTCTGTTATGCCATGTGGGACCCTTGCTGGCAGCCAGGAGCTGCAGAGGCTGCAGGCAGCTTTGCAGCCCAGAGCTCAACCATTGAGCCACCAAGGAGACCCTCAATATATATTTTTTAACATATTCTATGATGAAATTTTCAGGATTAGAAATATATCTCTGGTTTCTTAATCATTCTTTGTGGTAAATTGCCATTTATTTACCTAAAATTTAATTTTCCTTTTTTCTGGGAGTACATATCAACCAGAGATATGTTCTATTGTCCCTTGCAAATAGGAGTTGTCAAGGCACAAAGAAGATCATTCCATACCTCTTTGGGTTGGCAAGTAATCAAATAGGCATCACGGATTGATAAGAAGAAAAATCTTAAGAGTTTAATAACACATATACCTCTGCTTTCTCCATAGAAAGGAGCTAAGGAGATTAGGGTTTTTTGGTATATACCTTTATAGACAGAAGTAAATACCTTTTTTTCAAAAGCAACCTCTGTTATCAGGCAGAATGAGAGGTACCCAGGGCCCCCCAAACTTGCCTGCTTTAAATGGATTCTGCCATCTGCCACATAAAGACAAAAATACTCTTCATGCATAAGACTTCCAACAGAAAATAACACAATTCGTGTGCAACAAAGAGAAACAATATAGTTAAAATACGTTCCAATTAAACACTC